ATAATATGCCATATTAATATTGATGTGTGCAGCAAAAAAGGCATAAGAATAAAAAATGGATAAATATAAATGTAAAAAGTAAAAAAAATGATTACATGAATACACATAAGTAATTATGGATAGAAATGATGCAGATTATTAATAATAATTGGGATTGAAATATATGTTAAGGTTTGTGTTGAAATTAGTTCCAAGGCTCCTGACTTAAACTCTGTTTAGGGGTATATCTCTTAGTGGAAAGTGGATATAGACATTAGACATTCAATGATTTTAATGGTTTTTACATTCAAAGATTATTTATTTCAACAATGTAATTGTATTGCTAGTATGCTTTGAGGACACCTTTGCCCCTCCCCCCTGCCTGAGACTGCCCAGCCCAGATGGGAGGGTCTAGTTCCAGTCCCAGGGTATATATGGTAGAGAGCACTCATTGTTCAGTTAGCTCTGATGAAGAAGGAACCCCCTTCGAAACGCGTCAGCCGTACTCTGAGAATCTACCCCTATGATGGGACTCGCACAGGCTTCGCACTTCTAAAGTTCCTTTTAGGACTTGCATGCTTGATTTATTTCGTTGTTTGTGAGTATTATTCTGAATTTAATAAAATTTTGGTTTGCTGAGGTAATGCGCAAGGTTGGTACGCTTTCTTTTTGTTTCACTTTGCAGTACTGGTCGGGCTTCCCCAGCCTTGTTTAGAGCTGCACAACCTTATATGCATTGGTGGGCGAATTTTTCAAGTTCTGGTTCCATCCATCCACCCTTGCTTTGGGTCATAGATTGCAGGAGAGATCGTTTCTGGTTTTCTTGATTGAAAATGGTCAGCCTATCTGTCACCAGAAAGGCTGTGCAGGGCAGATGCCGAACCACATTGCCTAGCACCCGCAATTGCAGCAACACTGTCCAGGCCCCTGTCCATATCCCATGCTCATCAAGGACTTTCCGCAGTGGGGTGAGGGATATACACGTAGCCACACTACCAAATCAGCCTCTGGTATGGATTTGTTACGGACCAGAATCGTCACCAATTTTATCAAAGGCTGCCTTTAAACTACCTTTGGCACCAAACCTCTCCACTGCTGAAGACTGCTGCACCTCCTATACCTCTTCCAAAAAAGATCCAGCCCTTCAGGTTTCACAAATAACAAATCATATGCATAAATGCCAACTGGGTAGATCAAAGCAAATACATCAGAGGCTTTAAACCCCATCTCCAAAATCAGCTCAGTCACCCTCCCCCTTACTGGTGGGGTTCCCTCCCCCTCCCACCTTAACTGTACAACATTCCTCCTCCTGAACCCACCAACCATCCCACCACCAAACCTCAAATTGTGACCATTAGGATTTCCAACATTCCCTTCACCCCCCCCTTCCCCTTGGTGCAACTCCCCAAAACAGAGGCAAAGCTTCCCACATTCCTCCCAGCAGCAGAAACATTTGTGTGTTTGGATGCATCGGATAAAACTAGCAGATACCAATTGTATAACTCCTGTTAGCAACATTAAACCCCCTTCACCACCAACACATCCATTGCTTTAACAGTCTCACCAGTCATATTATTTGCTGATACATTCATAGTCTTCACAGCAATGTCCATACTCCCTGCTGCAGCGATAGAAACTTCCTCCTCCAGGAAAGGGCTTTCAGCCCAGGAATGTGCCTGCTGTTCAGACAAAGCAACAGGTACAACATCACAGACATCAATGTTTGCTCTCCACATGGTGCACTGTCCTGCTCCCCTCCCCCGCCAGCAACAATCTGCTCTGGAACACAGAGAGTTCAGGTGCAGCAGACTCCTTACAGCCAGTGACTATCTTGCAGCATTCCCAGAGGCACTACTGGTCTCAGCAAAGGCAGGAGCAGCAAAATCCATGTCCGAGGTGTTTGACACAGATCCATCCAAATTCCTATGATGGTTTGGAAACATCTCTGTCAGGGGTTTTCCCTCCACGTCTGCAGAGGGTGTCTCCACAGCAGAGACTTCTACAGCAAGTTGTTTGCAGAGCTTTTCTTTTTGTTCCTCAGCTGGGACACCATCCACCACAGCCAGTGGGGCAGACATGCTGGAAGCAGCCATCTTGGATTTCTCCACCATTACAGGCTTTTCTGGTCTGTACCTCCTCTGTCCTTCCTCAGGGATGTCTGACAGATCATCAGAGAAGGCAAACCTGTCTGCTGTCAAGGGTGACTCCATCTGCTGGATGAATGTCAGGATTCCATGCTCACTCTCAACCCCCTGGCTGGTTGCCGCTGACAACTACGCAGCCTGCCATGGAGGGAGAGACACAGAGTTAGATGGATCTGGATCATCCATTACCTGAGGCTGCTGATCCACAGGACTCACTGATGTCTGGCCTGCAAATCTCTTTTCATTATTAAACTTCTCTGCAAAGGCTCCACTTTTGGCTTTTAAATTTTTCAACAATAAAGATTGTTTCTTCACCTTTTCCTCCATCTGCTGTAGCTCTGGCTTCATGTCCAATCTGTTCTTACTCCAGGCCTGGCAGTACTTGGCTCTGAAGAATTTATGCTCGGCTTTCAAAACTTTTGTTTTTCCTCAGCTCTTCCAATCGCCATTAAACGATCGATAATCCTCTGTCTGTACACATCCACATCCTGACCAGGGCCTGGACCCACAGTCAGGTCCTCCACCTCCTCCTTCTCCTCCCTAGGCCCTGTGTTATAAGGGGGATCCCTTCCAGGGCCTCCCCCTGGATCAGGCATGGTTCCTGGGCCAAGCTAGCAGGAAAAGCCCAAGCTTGAAATCGCTGGTTCTCAGGTAGAGCTCTTGAGTGTGTCCCCCTCCTTCTCCCACTGACCACAAATGCAAGGAGCATTCTTCGTACTGACCACCAACGTTAGGGGAGCATTCTTCATACTTGCCACCAATGTAAGGCACATTCATCCCACTGTCCACCAATATAAGGAACATTCTTCCCACTGACTACTGATGAAAGGAGTATTCTTCACTTTGAATACCAGGGAAAAGGCATTTCGCTGACTGCTAATGAAAGGAGGTCCTTCTACTGACTGCCAATGAAAAGAGGTCCTTCTCCCACTGACTACCAATGTAAGAGGGTTCTTCTCCCAGTGAATACAATGTAATGGGGCCCTTTTCCACTAACTAACATTATGAGGGAATATTACTGTCTGCATTTCTTTTCAGGCCATTATTGTCATTTGTTTCATTTAATTATTATTACTGAAAATAATTATGTCGTATAGGACAGTCTTGGGTGTCAAATATGATTAAGTATTTCTTTTTTTTTTTTTTTTTTTTTCTTCTTTTTTATATCAACTTACTGTCCACGCTAATGTATCCTGAGCTGCAGATATAACAATTATTAGCAGGGGTTCCCTGGGACCTGAAAGTTATTTTAAGGGTTTTCCATATTAAGAAGGTTGAAAAAGGCTGTTATACTCTTGGTAGATATAAAGTACAGTAATACCTCGGTTTATAAATGCCTCGGTTAACATAATTTTTGGTTTACAAATGAAAATCCATTGAAAATAATTCCTCAGTTTACAAATTTTTTGCAAATTTTTTTTTGCAATACCAAGTGTATGTTGGTGCCGATTTTTAAATGCAATTGCCGGCTTTTGTTTTTTTTCTTCACTATAGTTCACAGAATTAGCTGTCACTTTCCCTAGAGTTAACGGAAACTTTGTTTCTTTTAAGAAACTAAAAGGAAACATTGTTTCTCTTAACTCAGGGAAATAAACTAAAAAGAAACTTCTCTTTTAGCTGGGGGGAAGTGACAGGTGAATTTCTGAGCTATAGTGAAGAAAAAAAAAGCGGTAATTACATTTAAAAACCGCCACCATAATAAATAAACTGCATGGGGTCCCCCCTCCCATCCATACAAAGCCCCTCGGGTCTGGTATGGATTTTGAGGGGAACTCCCAGGCCAAAATAAAAAAAAAAAAAATATGGCATGGGCCCCCCCCCCCCTTAAAATCCATACCAGACCCTTATCCGAGCATGCAGCCTGGTAGGTCAGAAAAGGGGGGGGAAAAGTGAGCGCCCCCCCCCTTGAACCATACCAGGCCACATGCCCTCAACATGGGGGGGGGGGGGGCTGCTTTAGGGCAGGGGGGCCGTCGCTGCTGCTGCCGCTGACCCGAAAAAAGAATTAAAGAAAAAAAAAAAGCTCCACTCCCAACGATGACTTCCAGCCGTCTGCCTGCTCCGGTGGTTTGACAGTTCTTAAATATGTGAGGGGCAGCGCCACCCGGGGACATCAGGCATGCGACTCCACCCCATGTGACATCAATGTCACATGGGGAAGGGTCACTCAGGTGATGTCCCCGGGTGGCCCCGCCCCTTACATATTTAAGAACTGTCAAGCCACCTCAGAAGAAGATGGCTGGAAGCCTTTTTTCTTTAAATTCTTTTTTGGGTCGGGAATCGTGATTGACATTGGATCTACTGTGGGGGACATTCTTTTAGTTTCTTTTAATAAAGGCCTTGTCAAAGACCGTGTCCTGTCTTTTTTCATACTACACTTTTTGTTTTTTGTGAATGAGTAGGGGTTTTTTTAATTTTGGCATGAAAGTTCTCCTCAAAATCCATATTAGACCCGAAGGGCTTGGTATGGATGGGAGGGGGGACCCCACGCCATTTTTTAAATTTTTTTTTAAATCATTTTTTTAATTGGCAGCAATTCTTTTACATTCAGCTGTCAGTGGGGAATCCCGCTGACAGCTGAAACATTAACACATGTCACTACTGAAATACCTCATGACTTGATAAAATAACTCATGCGGTATTTTAGTAGCATTTACTTTTTTCTGACCTTCAGAACGGATTAATTGGTTTTCAATGCATTCCTATGGGAAACGGCTTTTCGGTTTACAAATTTTTCGCTATACGAAAAGTCCTGCAGAACGAATTACATTTGTAAACCAAGGTATTACTCTAAATGTTTCTAATTACTTGACAAGATAAGGAGGAATGACAACTAGCATTTCAAGATAAACCTACTCTGTAATTTTTCTATTTTAGGGAGATCCACTCTGGAGTGCAAGACTTCTTCATACCAACCCACAGGCAATAAAGAATGTTCACACAAGGTAATTATAAGAAATATCATCTCAAAACTTAGAAAAATTGTTTTTTTTATATGGACTCATTCAGACTTGTGTGGAGACCTGTGTTTGTATGCACAGATCTGCAAGAGTACATAGAAAACGTGTTTTTTATGTGTCCCGTTCATGTTACAATGGAGCATTTTTCCACACTGCACTGTAGCTCTCCTGAAGTCTCCATGCATTTCTAGGCACCGCAGATCATATTTACTTAACTGGGTTTACTGGTGAATTTGACACAGCTTTGAATGGAAAAGAGAGACCTGACTACCTTAGCAAGTGTAGAACCATACAAGATGCAATGGTTGGGATTAGAGCTGCTACTGGGAACTGAATGATCTGTAGAAACAAGACATACCTGTGCTCAAATGCAATAGATTGTACATGCATTTATCTATCAGGTACTAAAGGAGTGTAGCCACATATTAACACTAGAAATCCCAGAGGAACCCTCTGCACACTGCTAATTACCCTTTCCACGCCACAGTGCAAAAATCAGTATGAGACATAACCTGGCATAGTGAGTAATCAGCCTAACTAAAAAGACTTGGTCGTAATGGAAACCTATCATAAGAAAACATAGAGGCTGCCTCTACTACTGCCCTCTTCTTTTAGTAGAGCCTGCATACCTTCCAATCTGCAAGGAAGGCCTGAACTGTAGGGAAAGTTGATATGTCACTTACAGCTGTACAGTAAACGTAGTAAGGTGACTTTAAAGATTCCAGCCAAACCATTTTTTTTTTTTTTTAAATAGGAAGGATTTAGGAATCTCTGTCAGGTGCTAACTGCTCTTTTAGAAAGATATTAGGGCTTGTTCACACCTGTGACACTGTACCGCCCTTCTGAAAATCTGTGGTGGATTGCTTTTCTGAGGGCAGTAGAACAGTGGCTACCAGACATTCAGATAGCAATACTGCCACCTCCTGAATGCAGTTTTTTTTGTGGCAGCCAAATTGTGCTTTCTATGTTAGTATAAAGAAATGTTTTCTTCGCTTCAATGTATTGCATTTTTGTTTTTCTGTTAAGATACTCTTTAATACAGATAGGGCAATGGAGGCAGATAAAAGATCTACCAGGACTATGGGGAGAGAAGTTTAGATGGATCAGGTTAGCAGCTTTGAAACCTGAGGCACATGCTCTTGGTGCAAGCTGCTAGTGATGTCTGATGGCTATGACAAAAGTGTGGAGGGTTAGGTAGCAGTGAACTCCCACTGTCAAAGTTTTTGACCAGCCATGTATATCGTATCGTTAGTACCGACATTTGGCACATGGTCCAAAAGTTTCTTTGAATGATCAAATGGAAAGCCTTTTCTTTTTTTCATAACTGTGCTCTTTTGTAGTACCCTACATATTGTTTTTTGGCCTATTAAACAAATGGTGTCAACAAAACACTAGAATCCTTCAAACAGTTTTGCCAAAGGTAGGGTAGCAGAGCTTAACTACATTGAAAGACTTCATTAATCAAGTTACATTTCAAATGCAATAGAGGCTATGCAGACACATTTTGCAAAGTAGGACTTTTATGTCTCTTATGTCCTACTGTCTTTAATGAAGCCATCATATGATTTGATAAACCTGGCCGTATCAGATTGCTCTGAAATTGTCCTTTTTCTCAGCAGTCAATGTATTTTTACTAGTCAAGGTATATTTGGTTTGCAATTTGTTTTACACTTGCTTAACATTTCGCTATTTTACCTGATCTTTTTATTTATGCATTTTTATGTTTTAGTTTTCTCAGGAGCGGTTCTGAAGTCTTGAGTACAGCTACCTACCAAGCTAGCATTGAAGGATTTGTACAACATTTGGGTGTGAATGTAGATGAGGCAGCAGAACTTTTTAATGTGGCAGTATCTCTTGCTAAGGAAGCTGCAGAAGAATTCAACATACAATCCTCAGGTAATATTTACCAAACACCATACCAGAGTTAGGCCTCATGCTTAGCCCATGAGTGTGAGATCCCGGCATTTTCATATGTTTGAAAGGCACAACGTTCTGCCCTGCTGCTAGCAGCCTGGAAAAACTCTGTTAGAGGCTGAAAGCTGCTATGGCTGAAATGTGCATCAAGAAGTACAAATGTTAATTTGTACCATGTTCTCAGGGACAAATGCACAAAACCCAGATTTCTTCTAGATATTTGTCCGTGAATGCATACTGCCCTAAATGTATCACTTGGTGCACTGTCCAGCCCTGTCCAGCCACAGCAGCTCTACAGGCTGCCCCACAAAAATGTATCCTTGTCTACAGGTACTCGTGAGATTCCAACTTATATGTACAATGCAACATATACTATCAGGGCATAAGGCTGGTTGTCTTTAATTAGGTTTTGAATGTACCTGTTTTCATTGATTTAGTGTGTATATTATAGTGGTTGCAAAGGTTTTTTTTTTTTTTGTTTTTTTTTTTTTTGCTTTAATGCATTTTGTACATTAAGGTAAAAAACAAATTGGCCAGCTCTCCCCCAGTCTTGCCCCATAAATATGTATCTGTGCTGATCTCGATCCAGCACTGTGCTGAGAGCAGTGGTGCTGCACTCTCTCCCCTCAGAGGACATGGAAGTAGCAGCGGGAGCCATTGGCTCCTGCTGCTGTCATTCAAATTCTGTGAGGAGGGAAGGGGGGCAGGGCCAAGCTGTGCGTCATTAGGTGCACACAGCCTGGCTCAGGATCTAGCCCACATGAGTGCCCCCCTAGCAAGCAGCTTGCTATGGGCACACTCAAAGAAGAGGAGGTTTGAGGCTACTTTGTGCAAAACCATTGCACAGAGCAGGTAAGTATAACATGTTAGTTATTTAAAAAAATATATAACTTTACAATCACTTTAAGTGCCTCCTTTCTGATACATCTTGACCACTAAACTCTGAGTGGGTGGTCTCTGGGCTAGCCCTTTAGCCACGGTCTTTGCTGAACTTTTGCCTGTTGCCTAGGATCAAGTTTTATTCACAACTATAAGAAACCTCCTCATTACGATGGAGGTGCATATTGACGGCAAAATATTATATGTGATATGCTTGGTATTTCCTGATATGTCAAGTTTTTATTGACTAAGTGATTTTTTTTGTGACTTTTCAGAAAAAAGAAATATTTTAATTGCGGGATCTATTGGCCCTTATGGAGCATTTCTTCATGATGGCTCTGAGTATACAGGAAGTTATGTCAGAGACATGAGTATTGAGGTATGTTACAGAATCTATTTAATGTAAACCAACTGGTACTTCCCTTGCCTACAGAACAAAATGAGTTCTAGCATGCAAGGAATAATTCTGTCGATTCGAATGACTCGGGTGGTACTATGTTCCAAACACATTGTAGATACACTAGCAGCAGCAGTGCTATGACAAGTAAAAACCATTTTGCAAAGTAGAAAAAGTAAATCTGCATGGTTATATCTTACAATGGATGTTCACTGTGATTTTCTTACTGATCACCTCACAGAATTTATCTGCCCTTTACCATGCCACTGGCTGTAATTTATGAGAAGTCTACGATTTACAGTATCTTTTGCACACCTCCTAAAAAAAAAAAACAAAAAAAAAAAAAAAAAAAAAAGAAGAAGAAATCTGCTTACTGCTCTGTCGAGCTTTGCAGACTCAGGAGGATGACATGCTGAGATAACAGTTCAGACCTGTAAGTTCCGATGCTGCAGTAATATCCACAGATAAATGCTCGTTGGCGGTCAGCAAATAAATGGCTGGTTCACACTACCTGCATGGTAAGCCGCAGAGTTATACTATTCAAGAAGTGTTGGTTTTAGCCGGCACTGCCAGAGCACCGTTTACCATTTTTCTTTTTTTTTTTTTTTTTTTTACCCTATCAAAAGGTCACAATGTGACATTTCATTCACTTCTATGCGCCGCAGCAAGAAATGGAGCTGCAGGTGAGCTCTGGTGCAGGACAGAAAACTGCAGACTTACTACTGCAGATTTCTGTACCGCACAGTAGCACCCTTGAAGGCTATGTTCAAGTGTGAATGGCAGGGGTGTATTTACCACAAGGCAAACAAGGCATTTGCCTAGGGCGGCATTTTTCAGGGAGGGCAGCACTGCCTGTTGGAAGAAGAGACGGAAGATGGGACACACGCGGCATGGGGACCTGGTGAGTTCCGTGAGATGCTCTGGGTTTCACGACAGTGTATGCACAGCCCTACTCTCGTTCCTGGGGATATCCGGAGCTGTGAAGGTAAGTGTCTTTTTCTCTCTCTCGCTATGGGGGATGGTGGCTGGTGTATGGGGGGCAGTGGTAGTTGAAGGCTCAGATGGAGGGTAGGGGTGTTCTTGGTCAATGTCAGGCTCTTTCTGCAGGGTGCTTGCCAATTTGTTGTGTGGCAGCACAAAACCTAAATACACAACTGTTGAATGGGACACCTAGAAGACAATTGTTTCTGCGCACTCATGTGGAGATCAGCAATTTTCTAGTGCAGAAAACCACTGACCTCTGCACAAGTGTGAATGAGACCTCACAAATAAACCGCACAGTATGAGTTGAATCCAGGAGGGAAAAAGTGCTGGTTTCAGTTGTCAGTGCCTCGGCCAATGACACAATAGACAGATGTTATAGCTAAAGCCGCTTTACCATCTTGAGCAGCCTTGACAGTGGTACCAGGAGATCTGTCTGTTCTGTCATCAGCCGACGAGGTACTGACGTTTGTAACCAGCACTTTTTCCCTCCTGCACTTTGTATTGTAATACTACACCCATGCGATTTATATCTATGTAGTCCTCACATGCTCTAGGTAACTAATCTGTATTATAAAGCTGCTAGAACCTTACCATATACCAAATGGGACAATGCTAAGTGAAGAGTAATTGGTACTGTGCTAGTATTAAATATATATAAAATTGTCAACAAAAAATAATCCTCACAATATAAACATATAAAATCAAATCACAAAGAAATGTTGAATAGAATACACATGAAGACATCCAAAATAGTGGATAACAGTGAAATACAACAACCAAAAAAATAAAAGTTGTAACCTAGGTACACCACTAATAATAAATAGGTGACTATGGGTGAAAATACTTAATAACCATAAAATGGTGCCAACATAAACAGTGATAAGATCCGCAAATGGGATCCCAACAAGACAGTACTAAATACGCACTAAAATAGTGCTGTAATGTGAGAAAATTGCCGTCAGATATACTGTGTGCCAACTAAGTTTTGGCTATAGAAAATTAAAGAATATATACGCATTCATAGTGTAAATCAATAGAATGCAGAAAAGAATCAGTAAAAAACTGTGAATAATGAAAAAAAGCCACAAGGCTAATATAACACAACACAGTTGCTAGAAAAAATGATCAACCAGGATATACAAATTGGAATATAAATAAATAAAATAATTAGAAGTGAACCATATAACCGTGACCCCTAGATAGGGAATAACGTGAATAAATAGCGAATAAGTGATACTAGTAAAATACTGTATATAGTGAAAAAAATAAGCCGCAAGGTTTATATACCACAACTCTGTTGCTAGAACAAATGATCACAAAGACAAAATGAGATATAAATAACAAAAATAACAGTGAACCATATATCAGTGACCCCAAAAAAGGGGATAATTTAAATGAATAAGTAAGTGACACAAAAATTAATATGACACACAAAAAATATGGATCAAATAAGGTCCAAAAACATATATAAATGACCCAACCTATAATGAATCACATAAACTTCATGCGATCCAACCAAAACTATAAAGTCCAAAACACCTACAAACGATGGAGATGTTCTATAGTCCTTAAATAGTGCTGGTGTTTTTAAAGGTGTATAGATAGGAGGAGATCCGACACTAGGTGAAATGCCCCCTCGCCTCCATGAAGTGACCCCACAGGGTCAAAATGCTTTTTCAAACAATATCGCACCAACCGGGAACCAGGACCCCCTCCTGAAGGTATAGGGTGCAGCGATGGATCAATCCCCCTCAGTGGTTTTAAGTAATTGAAGTTTCTCTAGACTGATTGGAAGGGGAAGACTAGAAGGATATATTGGCAGACGTATCGACTCCCTATAAATTGCAAGAGATATCACCAATCACGTTACCCTGAGGAAGTCGCGTGTTAGCGTGATGTAACGCGTGGGACGTGGTGATGCAATTTTCGGATGTGGTGACGTGGACGCCATCTTGGTACTCCAATATACACCTATGCAAAGTACAACCTACAGCATGTGGTTTCTTATATGGCTTATGTAAAAGATGTATACATGTGAGTGGGCACTTGTTTTACTCTTTTCTTAATAAATCAATGCGTTATCACACTATGGGAGTATCTTCCTTTCTATTTTCTCTGGATGCATGAGGATTGGCTAATCCTAGGTTTATCACTCTGGAGAGGTTTCCTGCTGTGCTGGTATCCATCAGTGAGGAGGATTGATCCATCGCTGCACCCTATACCTTCAGGAGGGGGTCCTGGTTCCCGGTTCATGCGATTTATGTGCACAGTCCTTTTGACTTCAGAGGCGCAATTGGCAAGCTGCACCACCTGCCAAATGTGACTTGCTGAGTTCAATTTGCTGCACCACAGCTGCAAAAATGTGAACAGACCTGAGCAGCGTCAATTTTATTTTGAAAGTGGGAGTTCAGAAGGCGGTAAAAGCACAGATCAACTGCCTATTTTTTTTTTTTTTTTTTTTGTTAATTTTTTTTTTTTTAACTACACATGTGAACTAAGCTAGTAAGCTAACTTTTTTCCCGAGTCATCTTCTAGGACAGCTCACTTGAGAGATAGGCTCCTCCCAGGAAACACCCGCTCCACCTTTTTCCTCTATAAGTAGCCTCTCTCCCAGGGGACCCTCAGTATTAGTGTTTCCTCAGGCCAGGAGTGAGCTACGCCCGTTTTGTTATTTTTCTAGGGCCACCTGGCGAGGTACAGAGGCCCCCTGGCTGAGGCCCCCCTTTCCTCCTTTTCTAAGCAAGGCAGGGGCCTTGTGAGGGGGCTTCAGTCAGGTCCCCTTCGTGTAAACCCCTCTGGGGTGGGGGTGACAGACCCCAAATGGTCCTAGCGGGGCTCTCCAGGGGGGCAGAGCCCGCTACGCCGACCTGGGCAGGATTGCCTTTCCCTTGGGCTGAGGTGAGCTTACCTTTTCCGGGATCTCTGCAGCATGGACGGTGGTCGGGAGGACGCCGGAGTCGCGTCATTTCCGGGCGCCGGGAAGTGACGTCACTTCCGGCGCAGGAACAGGAAGCGGCGCTGCCGCCATGTGGGCTATGGGCGGCGGGCCGTAGAACTCGCCCACACCACGGCCGCTTCTTCCACCGGCGGCCGTGAGAGGGAGGCCGGCGCATGAGGACCCCAGGGAGAGGGCGGAGCCCGCTAAGCCCTGCAAAACAGCCGCACCAAGGGGGAGTTCACGGCAAGGATGGAGGCAGATCTGTCAAGGCTGGGGGAGGCCTGCAGCAGGTAAGGGCCTTTTTGGCTGCCACAACCACCCCGCCCCCGCCCTCTCATTCCCCCCTGCCCTTCTTCCCTACACTACCTAGGGGCTTTCTGGGTGCTGGGGGGCCACGTAGGGGCCCCAAGGGGGCTGCACGGCGGATGGGCGCCCTATGTTCCTCATCCCCAGGTGGGCCCACAGGGGGGTGGCACAGAGGCTTGGTGGTTAGCATGTCTGCCTTGCAGTGAATGGGTTGTGGGTTTGATTCCCGACTATGACACCTCCTGCATGCTTTGCATGGTTTGCATGCTCTCCCTGTACATGCATTGATTTCTAAGAGTCCGGGTCCCGCCCAGGACAAAGCCCCAACCAGGCACCTCAGGGAGATGACCTGGAGGAGAAACAACCGGATCTCTCCCTCCATGACCAGCTGTATGCAGGTCTAAAAAAAAAAAAAAAAAAAAAAAAAAGGGAAGAGCGGCCACGCAGTCCATGCGTATTCTACTTTATGGTCCTCCATCAGAAGGGAATGGGAAGAGCCGGAAAAGGAGGCTCTTTCCCAAATACCTCAAGTGGAGATTCCCATTCAAGGAAGAAGATGCTGCACCGTGGGGACAGCATTCCGTGTGGCTCAGAGAGAAGCAACTTAGTCTATCACTGCAAAAAGGCCCAGGTTCAAACCCAGGCTCAGGCACAAAATCTACTCTTAACTTGCCCAAGGCCAGATGCTCCTCTTTCTAGAACAAGGCGCCTCGGCGGGAGAGATCCAGGAGTCGCTGCCGGTCTTAGGGGAAACTGTGGCTTTCACTGCAGACGCATCGATGGAAGCTATTTGATTTACAAGCAAAAGTCTACTGCGCTTGTAAATTCTGCCAGAAGAGCTATCTGGTTAGAATCTTGGCAGGGGGATCTTGCCTCTAAATACGACAAAAGGAGACTAGGCACAGGCTGGGGATCAAGGATTAGTCAAGGGGAATGGAAGACTTCCTCTTCAACCCCAACCAGAATAGATCCAGGAACCGGTCCAAGTGACCGGAGGAGCCAAGTGGGAGGAAGGCTGGGACACTTCCACATACAGTGGCTAAAAATCACTCGGAACACTTTATCTTAGATGCATTCCGAATGGCTACAGAATAGAGTTCTCAAGACCCCCCCCCCCCCCCCCCTCAAAGGTTCTTCGCAACACCCCTGCCAAGGGACAGGGGAAAAGCGGACATGTTAGTAGACCTCCTGGATGGGATGCTCGGGCAGAATGTAATTTGCCAGCTGGAGGAGGAAGAGAGGGGAGTGGTTTTTCTACTCCCATTTCTTCCTTAGAAGGAAGGCGTTGGGAACCTGCGGAATGATACTCAACCTGAAAAAGGGGAACGAGTTCGTGGGACCAAAAACAAAAAAAAAAAAAAAAAAAAAAAAAAAAAAAGTTTTGCAAGGAGACCATACACACAGTGAACAGAACTACTGCCACCAGGGCGTATTTATGGCTTAGATGGATTTGAAGGACACATATCTGCATGTCCCGATAAGGGAGGAATCAGAGAAGTTTCTCAGGGTTGCGCTGGAAGGCGCAGGGGCAACAATTCTATTTCAGTTCAACGGAGGCAGCATGCAGGGGCGTGCATCTGTAATCCCAGCTCCTTTGGTGGCAGAGACTCTCAGACTGTTTGAGTCCAGGAGTTCTGGTCTCTCCTGAGCCATAGTGGTTGGCGCGTCTGCCTTGCGGTGTATGGGTTGTGGGTTCGGTCCCCGACCGTGGCGCCCCCTGCATGGAGTTTGAGTGTTCGCCCGCGCTTGCAGGGTTTCCTCTGGGTACTCCCATTTTCATGCACTCCCCTCCGGTCTGTCATCAGCTCCAAGGATATTCACCAATGTCCGAGCAGAACCGCTACTTTTATTTGCAAATACAGAGAGGGGTGTGGAATCCCACGTACGGTGCACAAATTCCTTCCCAGAGTACTTGGGATGGCTAATCAATAGGGGGGGAATATCCCAGCTAATACCTCCCAGAAGGATCACGTATCTGAGGTATGCCCTGGATTCCAAGAATACCTGCTTATACCTAACGGGGGATGGCGACCTGCACGGATGGGCAGCACAGTGGCTAAATGGTTAGCACTTCCGCCTGACAGTACTCGGGTCGTTGGTTCAAATCCCAGCCACAGCACCACCTGCCTGGAGTTTGCATGTTCTCCCTGTGACTGCGTGGGTTTCCTCCCACACTCCGAAGACATGCTGGTAGGTTAATTGGCCCTAGTATGCCAGTGCTGCAATGAGGTTAGTGGGGCGCATGACAGCTGCCATACCCGGAGTGCAATGGGCACAGTTTCACTCCAGAATACTGCAGGACCATGTCCTCTCCCACGGGGATGGCAGCCAAGCAGCCTTAGATTCCAGGATCCGCCTCACACGCATGAGGAATTCGCTAAAGGGGGGGGGGGGGGAGAACATCCACACCTTAGAGGCTGGGAGAAAATGGCTGCAGGTCAGCCCGGAAAGAATCACCACAGATGTGAGTATGTCTGAGTGGGGTGCTCACATGGAAGACCGCCTGGCCCAGGGCAGGTGGGACGCGGAAATCTCGGACAGATCATCAAACTACAAGGAATTGTTGGCTTTCCAGGGTACGAGAGGGGAAGGAAGTTCAGATCTTATCCGACAACACAACGGTTGTCACGTACTTAAACAGATAGGGGGGGCACGAGGGCCCCGAGACTGATGGATCTGGCAGAAACCCTCCTGAGCTGGGCAGAGACAAACCTAGAGTCCATCATAGCAGCGCATCTGAAAGGCTATCTCAAACAGTTGGCGGACCAAATGAGCCGGAGAGAGGTCACTCAGACAGAGTGGTGCCTCAGCCGTACAGCATTCAATCAAACCTGCGCCAGATGGGGCACTCCCTCCCGCGGATCTCTTCACCAACAGCCAAAATACAAAACTGGGGAGGTACTGCAGCCTGCAGAAGGACCCCAGGAGTGCAGGGAGAGATGCATTAGCCCCGCATTGGGAGGGAGACCTTCTCTATGGGTTTCCTCCGTTCAGACTGTTGCCGGAAGTGATGCAGAAGATTCAGTCATCCCAAGCCAAAGTCATCCTGATTGTACCGTTTTGGCCCAAAGGGCCATGGTTTGCCCAGCTGAAGGAAGTAAGCTCAACGGACCCATGGATGATACCGCCCTCACACGATTTACGGGGGGCAAGGGGAGGTGCTACACCCTCACCCAGGAGAACTCTCCCTAGCAGCGTGGCTTCTGAGTGGGACAGGCTAGCCAGGAAAGGCCTGTCAGAGAAAGTGGTCGCCACCATCTTAGACAGAAGGAAGAAATCGACAAACACCGTATATGATTAACTTGGAAGAAGTTCTCCGCCTGGAAAGATAGGAATGGGTCGCCGGGGGCTCCCATCTTACATACAGCATGGGAATTCCTCCAAGCCGGGGTAGATAAGAACCTGGCTGCAAATTCCCTTAAGGTGCAGGTAGCAGCACTATCAAACTTTCTGGAATTAGGATTGGCGGCAGACCCATTAGTAATCAGGTCCCTGAGAGCTATCTCTAGGCGCCGAGTCCTGCCCACGCTGAAGCACCCTACATGGGACCTGGGCACAGTTCTGACGAGTTTTTTCAGCAAGAACCTTTTTGAGCCTTTGGAGGTGTGCTCCTTTAGACTTTTTGACTCCTAAAACCATCCTGCTTGTAGCAATTACGTCTGCCCGCAGAGTCAGCGAACTGCAAGATCTTTTGGTAATAGAACCATACTGCACTAGCCTGCGGGACAGAACCATCCTCCGCACGGATCCGGCGTTTCTACCTAAGGTTGCGTCACATTCTCATAAGTCGCAGGAAGAAATAATACCATCCCTGGAGGGAGACTACAGCAGAATTGATGATCCAAGGAAGGGGGACAGTGCCTCCAAAGGCACCATCACAAGATGGGTAGGAGAGGCCATTTCTGAAGGTTATAGAGCTGCGTCTGTCACCACCGGCCAGCCTAAAGGCGCATTCGACCAGGGCCACCGCAGCCACCTGGGCGGAAAAGGCGGGGGCCTCCCCTGGACAGATCTGCAATGCCGCAACATGGTCCAGTTTCGCCACCTTCGCTAGACACTCCAGATTTGACCTAATCGGCAGCAAGGACCAGGTGTTCGGCAGGAAGGTCCTACGAACAAAGGGCCCACCCTAGAGCATGTATTTCTATTCTACTCCTCTCAAGTGAGCTGTCCTAGAAGATGACTCGGGGAAAACGCAGTTATTTACCTGTTAACTGTATTTCCAGGAATCTTCTAGGACAGCGTAACTCCCTCCCGATTGCTGTGTGATTATGTACTAGGGTTTCGTCATGCTTGAAATCGTCATTGTGTCTCTACTACCATTTTTATGCTTTCTCCTAGGCCTTCGGTCATATTCTTATACTGAGGGTCCCCTGGGAGAGAGGCTACTTATAGAGGAAAAAGGTGGAGCGGGTGTTTCCTGGGAGGAGCCTATCTCTCAAGTGAGCTGTCCTAGAAGATTCCTGGAAATACAGTTAACAGGTAAATAACTGCGTTATACTAGTCTACTAAGGCATTAGTGAAGGTGAAAGGCACATGAGAATCTAAATTGCTTTGTCTCTGGTTGCAGGAGTTAAAGAACTGGCACCGGGTACAGATGCAATGCCTAGCATCTGCTGGAGTTGATATGTTTGCTATAGAGACTATTCCTTGTCAAAAGGAGGCCGAAGCCCTGATACAAGTTCTCAAGGAGTTCCCAAATTCTAAAGCTTGGCTGTCCTACTCATGCCAGGTTAGTGTGTTTTTAAAATGTAAAAATCCTCTATGGGTATACATGGTACAGATTGTGTCTGCTTTTCATAGAAAATCGAAACATCGTTCGTTCTGTAATCCGATGGTGCCACCGATGATTTCGAAAAATCGTCCTTTTTCAGGAGTTTTCCAGCATGCCCGATAAACGAAATGAGGAGGAACCCTGAAAATCAGCCGAGGCCATTGCCCCACTAACCGTGCGAAAATCAGCCGATTATTCTTTCAGACGAAAAATCGGCCGATTTTCGAACCATGTATGGCCTGCATAAGTCTGTGTTTGATCTGTAACTGCCATGATGCTGCACATGTAATCAGTTATGATGCCAGGCATTTGATGGTTTACAGTTTGGTTGAGAGCAGAAGCAAATGTGACGCATTTCCGGCATGCCAGGAATGTACAGTGGGGATCGAAAGTTTGGGCACCCCAGCTAAAAATTTGTATTAATGTGCATAAAGAAGCCAAGGAAAGATGGAAAAAAAATCTCCAAAAGGTATCAAATTACAGATTAGACATTCTTATAATATGTCAACAAAAGTTAGATTTTATTTCCATCATTTACACTTTCAAAATAACAGAAAACAAAAAAATGGCGTCTGCAAAAGTTTGGGCACCCTGCAGAGTTAATATCTTGTACTGCCCCCTTTGGCAAGTATCACAGCTTGGAAAAACGCTTTTTGTAGCCAGCCAAGAGTCTTTCAATTCTTGTTTGAGGTATCTTTGCCCATTCTTCCTTACAAAAGTCTTCCAGTTCTTTGAGATTTCTGGGCTGTCTGTCACGCACTGCTCTTTTAAGGTCTATCCATAGATTTTCAATTATGTTGAGGTCAGGAGATTGTGAAGGCCATGGCAAAACCTTTAGTTTACGCCTCTTGATGTAATCCGCCGTGGATTTCGAGGTGTGTTTACGATCATTATCCATTTGTAGAAGCCATCCTCTCTTTAACTTCAGCTTTTTCACAGATGGCATCAAGTTACCATCCAAAATTTGCTGAAATTTTATTGAATCCAGTTTTCCTTCCACTCGTGAGATGTTCCCTGTGCCACTGGCTGCAACACAACCCCAAAGCATGGTTGATCCAACCCCATGCTTAACAGTTGGACAGAGGATCTTTTCATTAAATTCTGCGCCCCTTCTTCTCCAAACGTACCTTTGCTCATTCCGGCCAAAAAGTTCAATTTTAACCTCATCGCTCCACAGAACTTGTTTCCAAAATGCATCAGGCTTGTCTATATGTTCATTTGCAAAGTTCAAACGATGATTTTTGTGGTGAGGATGTAGAAGAGATTTTCTTCTGATGACTCTTCCATGAAGACCATATTTGTACAAGTATCTCTTTATAGTGGAATAGTGTACCACAACTCCAGTGTCTGCCAGATCTTTCTGGGGGGATCATGCAGTCAAACGTGGGTTTTGAATTGTTTTTCTCACAATCCTGCGAGCTGTTCTGTCTGATATTTTTCTTGGTCTTCCAGATCTTACTTTAACTTCCACTGTTCCTGATGACTGCCATTTCTTAATTACATTCCGAACAGAGGATATTGACATCTGAAAACGCTTTGCTATCTTCTTATAGCCTTCTCCAGCTTTGTGAGCGTCAACTATTTTCAGTTTCAGTTTTCTAGACAACTGCTTAGAAGAACCCATGGTGCTGATTGTTGGGGCAAGGTCAGATGAGTCTGGGCATTTAAAACCTTTGAGATTGACATCACCTGGTCTTCCCAGATGATGATTGAGAACAATCCATGACACTGGCAGGTCTCAGCTTGGCAAAGTGGGCAGTGCATGCTATAAATTCTGCAGGGTGCCCAAACTTTTGCAGACGCCATTTTTTTGTTTTCTGTTATTTTGAAAGTGTAAATGATGGAAATAAAATCTAACTTTTGTTGACATATTATAAGAATGTCTAATCTGTAATTTGATGCCTTTTGGAGATTTTTCCATCTTTCCTTGGCTTCTTTATGCACATTAATACAAATTTTTAGCTGGGGTGCCCAAACTTTCGATCCCCACTGTAACTGTTTTTGGAAACCGTTAAATTGATGGGTTTAGTTCAGCTTTAAGGTATATATTTCATCTGTGTAACTATTTGCCCAGAGCTTAACTTATTTAAGGGAGAATCAAGCAAAGTAAATACCATGCTCCTACTTTTCTTCACAGTGACTGTGATGGCAGTGGTTTGGAGGGTTAATGGTAAGGTGGTTTGGTAAATAAATCTTTGTGCCAGACTTCAGGAGATCTGGCAGGTTTAGTCATTTTCATTCTTGCATTTATGTTTAGCAGTGATTTACTGTGGCATGTCATTCCTTGATTAATCAAGAAACCTATATCAAGAATGTGCTTTTTCAAACAAATTTTTGTATGTTTTCTTATTATCCGGTTTTGTGACATGTACCCATTTCTTCTGTGTCATTTAGAACATATCATCTACCAGTTATGGAGAGAAGTTTGAAGAAGCAGTGAAAGTTTCAGCAGCAACACCCCAGGTGGTGGCCATTGGAGTGAATTGCTGTTCTCCTGATTTCATTAGCCCCCTCCTATCTTTAGCCAACAAAAAAAAGCAGTCTACAGATCGACTGGATTGTTTACCCTAACAGAGGAGAAAGATGGGATCGTGATCTGGGGTAAATCTCCTTTGGAGCGGTCTTGTTTTCTTTAGAAAAATAAACTATACATAGGAAACCCCATGCAAAAATAATTAAAAATGTTTGTTCTTTTTTTTTTTTCTTTAAGTTGGGTTCCCCTCAAAAATCCACATTAGACCCTTATCCAAGCATGCATCTCCTTTCTCCTTGAACCATATCAGGCTACTTGCCCTCAACATGAGGGGGGGTACCTTACCAAGGACCCTCTTCCCCCCAGCAAAGCAAACATGTTCATGAGGGCTAGGGCTTGGTGGTTGTTGGGCAGGTTGCTACAGGTGAGGGGCTCATTGGAATCTGGATGTTCCCTTCAACAATAAAGGGGCACCCAGATACTGGGCTTCCCATATGAAAGAGTAAGGGCTACTCGTTCACAAAAAAAAGTAAAGTGTAAATTAAGACACATGGGCATTGTGACTGATGTAGTTCTACTTTGCTGGATGACATGATTGATGGTGGATTTACATCGTGAGCAATTTTTTTTGTATTCTTTCTGTGCCACCAATGTACGCCTTACATTGCCAGCAGTGGGGAGTTTCACACAAAGCTCCCATAGGTGAACTTGGGACCAAGGCGGTGGATGCCGCTGGGTAGACCCCCCCCCCCCCCACATACACACATATACAAACTAAACACAGGTGTCGGGGGGCACCTACACGTGAAAACATGATTGTACTACATGTTACATATTGCCATGTATGCTTTAAACTGATGACCTGCATTGGGCAGGGTTGTGGGGAATAGGCCCTTATCCTCATAAACATGGGGACAGTAAGGGTACCTACGCTGAGGGCATGAGGCCTAGTATTCTCTCTCACTCCCCCTCTCTCTCTCGCTCCCCTTTCTCTCCCTCTCTCTTGCTCTCTCTCCCTCTCTCTCTCCCTCGCCCCCTCTTTCTCCCTCTCCCCCTCTCCCCCCCTCTCTCGCTCCCTCTTTCTCTCTCTCCCTCGCCCCCTCTTTTCCCTCTCTCCTCTTTCTCCCTCTCCCCTCTCTCTCTTTATCCTCTCTCTCCCCATCTCTCGCTCTCTTCTCCCCCCCCTCTCCCCCCTCTCTTTATCCTCTCCCCCCCATCTCTCGCTTCTCTCCCCCCCTCCCTTCCCCTCCTCTCTTCTCCTCTCCCCCCATCTCTCGCTCTCTCCCCCCCCTCTCCCCCCCCTCCCTCTCCCCCCATCTCTCGCTCTCTCCCCCCCTCTCTCCTCTCTTTATCCTCCCCCCATCTCTCGCTCTCTCCCCCCTCTCTTTATCCTCTCCCCCATCTCTCTCTTTCTTTTATCCCTGTTTCTCTCTTTATCCCTCCCCCCATCTCTCTCTCTCTCCCCCCCCTCCCCCCTCTCTCTGTCTAGCCCCCCTCTCTCTCCTCTCTTTACACCCCCTCTCGCGCTCTCTCTCTCCCACTCTCTCTCTCTCTCTCTTTCTTTATCCATGTTTCTCTCTTTACCCCCCCTCTCTCTCTCTCTCTCTTTATCCATTTCTCTCTCTTTACCCCCCCCCTCTCTCTCTCTCTTTCTTTATCCATCTTCTCTCTCTTTACCCCCCCTCTCTCTCTCTCTCTTTCTTTATCCATGTTTCTCTCTTTACCCCCCCTCTCTCTCTCTCTTTCTTTATCCATGTTTCTCTCTTTACCCCCCCTCTCTCTCTCTCTCTTTCTTTATCCATGTTTCTCTCCCCCCCCCCCTCTCTCCTCTTTCTTTATCCATGTTTTCTCTCTTTACCCCCCCCCCCCCTCTCTCTCTTTCTTTATCCATGTTTCTCTCTTTACCCCCCCCCTCTCTCCCTCTCTTTCTATATCTCTCTCCCTCTCCCTCTCCCTCTCCCTCTCCCTTCCTCTTCTCCTCTCCAGAGTCCAGCAGTGGGTCTGAGGCGTTGGCAAGGGCATGTGAGGAGAGTTTGCCACCGGGCCCCAGGAAATCCCAAAGGTGGAGATGACCAGCAGACAACAGCCATTGAAATTGTGGCCTGTGATGGCACAGCTGGGTCTCTGAGTTCCCCAAGATAGGGACCATGGGGGATGGCAGTGGGGAAATTTGAGGAGCTGTGAAAAGTGTCCCTAGAAATCAACAAGGTGCTACCATGAGTAGGGTGGTTAGTGAGGTCTTTCAGTAGCTATGAAGTCATCCAAGGCCAGCTCTTGGCCATGCTGCAGGAGTTCTCCCATTCCACTGCTGCCTAGTTTTGCTTCAGCATGACAGTGCAAGTTGACCAATCTAGTGAGATGGGCCTCCCTATAATAGGCCTGCACATCAGGGAGGCCAACTCCACCTTGGCATTTGAAGGGGTGAAGCAGTTGGAGTTGGAGACAGGGTTTCCAATAGGACCATACAAACTACAGAAACAGGGATTCCCTTGTTTAAAGAAGCCGGTTTTGTTTTCATGTTTGCTATGTATAGGGTGTCCAACAAATCTCTTTGGAGAACACAAGCCCAGTAAAATGCATGAATTGGAATTGGGCACACAAGTTAAATTTTACCAAATTTACCAGAATGTATTCTGCCTGCAAAATTTTAATTATTTTTGAGTAGATATTAAAAGCCACCTGCTATTTTATTTGAATAAAGTGTGTTCAAGACCAGGTTTTAAGTTGAAAATACTCATGTTACACTTTATTACTTGTTTAGCTGGCAAAGTGGTAGTAGTGGACAACCTCTAAGTGAACATGCTCTTGAATGGGCCCAATTGGGAGCTAGATGGATTGGTAAGTATAAGTTGTGCTTTCTTAATTTTGTTAACGTGGTTCCAAATATTGCAACAACTGTATGATAGATAGATAGACAGACAGACAGACAGACAGACAGACATAGTCATGGCCAAAAATATTGGCACCCCATTTCTGTCAGATAATGCACCACTTCGCCCAGAAAAATGTTGTAATTGCAAATGTTTAGGCATTCTCATGTTTATTTCTTTTGTTTGTATAGGTATGACACAAAAAAATGGAGAAACAAAAAGCCAAATCTGACACATTCCACACAAAACTACCAAAATGGACTGGACAAAATTATTGGCACCTTCTCAAAATTTTAAGAAATAATTGCATTCCAAATTTGTGATGTGACTGTAATTTATAATTAAAGTCACCTGTATCAATCAACAGGTCTTAATGTTTCTGTGTCCACTATGTGCAACATTGTCAAGCAGTTTACAGTCCATGGCACGGTAGCTAATCTTTCTGGACATGGATGAAGAGAAAAACTTAAACAAAGATTGCAACAAAGGACTGTGGTGGATAAAGAACCCTTATCAACTACCAGACAAATTCAAGCTGACCTTCAGATACAGGGTACAACTGTGTCAGCTTGCACTATACATCGCAATCTGAATGAAAATGGACGTTATGGTAGGAGACCCAGGAGGACCCCACTGCTGATACAGAAAAAATAAAAAAGCCAGATTGGAGTTTGCCAAAACGTACCTGAGGAAGCCAACATCCTTTTGGGAGAATGTGTTGTGGACAGACAAAACAAAATTACAGCTTTTTGGTAAAGCCTATAATTCTACTGTTTTCAGTGAGGTGATTGTAGCCATATTAGTGCATTTGCGACAGGAACAATTGAGTACTGTCTGTGATACTTTTTGTATTTGCACTGTTTTCAGTAAAAGAAATTAAGCCTTTAAAGAAAAGAATACAGTCAAACATGGTGGAGGTTCACTGAAGTTTTGGGGTTGCTTTGCTGCTTAAGGCACTGGATCTCTTGACTGTGTGCATGGCATTATGATATCTGAAGACTACCAAAGAATTCTGGGGTGCAATGTAAGGCCCAGTGTCAGAAAGTTGGGTCTCCGCCAGAGGTCATGGATCTTACAGCAGGACAATGACCCAAAGCACACGTCAAAAAGTACCCAGGAATAGTTTCATACAAAGTGCTGGAGAGTACTGAAATGGCCAGCAATGAGTCCAGATCTCAATCCCATAGAGCACCTGTGGAGAAATCTCAAAACAGCAGTTGGGAAAAGGAACCCTTCCAATCTGAGAGACCTGGAGCAGTTGGCAAAAGAAGAGTGCTCCAAAATTCCAGTAGAGAGGTGCAAGAAACTCATTGATGGTTACAGGAAGTTGATATTAGTTATTTTTTTACAAGGGGTGTGCTACCAAATATATTGATTTTGTCCAGTTCATTTTTGGGGTTTTGCATGGCATGTGTCAGATTTGGCTTTTTGTTTCTCCACTTTTTTTGTGTCATACCCATACAAACAAAAGGAATACACATGAGAATGCCTAAACATTTGTAATTGCAACAATTTTCTGGGCGAAGTGGTGCATTATCTGACAGAAATGCAAGGGTGCCAATATTTTTGGCCATGACTGTATATCTTTTATCCTACCTGGAGATATTCCCAAGTGTAGCTCGGGGTAAAGTTTCAGCACCACAAGCGATAACCCCGAGCTACACTCGGCAATACCTTGCAGCGCTGCTCCGTGATCTCTTCTTCACTTACCTTGTCCTGTGCTCCTGCAATGTCCTCCCTGCAGTGTCCCCGGCAATGTCCTCTGGCCGATGCCGGCATCTGTCTTCCGGGTTCCGTTCCAAGCGTCGGGACATATGGGGATGGAACTGGTGGGAAAATTGTAGAAATGACATTCACTAAAATCACATAGTAAAACATTACTGTATCAAACCATTTCACATACATTTTGTCCCGAGTGCTTTGTTTTCTGCCCTGCCTGCATTTTTACTGTTCTTTCTGCATTGAAACTGAGAAACATCCATGGCGTCCAAAAAGCGTCCCTTTAGGTCAAAATCGGTTTTAGACCAGCTAGAGAACAGCGATAGTAAATTAGAACTACTTGCAGAATTAAGTGATAATGATTTGTGGGGAAATTCCTCATCAGACGCTGAAAACGATTTTGCGACTTTGCTCAGTGATGTGCAAACTTGGCGCTCTATTTCAAATTTCAGTGTTTTTGGTTTGATTTAATTATTGAATTAAATTTTATTATTATTATTTTTTTATGATTATTAAATTATAATTTATGATTTTGTGTTTCACATTTTAACATACCCGGGATGTTTACTAGACTCTTGTTTGGACAGATTTCAGTGAGTTATTCCTAAAAATTACAGGCCTGCAATAAAAAAACTACATATTTCCATGCAAACAAATGTCCCGCTTTGAGCACAGAAGTATGGACATAATCAGACTGCTAGGAAGGCCACTAAGTAATCACCAAACCTGTTCTCAAGTCCCTACAGCTCTTGCATTATATTCATATGGGTACAATTGGAGTAATCAGTATCTCAGCAGGGAGATTTAGCTAAATGTGTTATATATCAGCAGCATATATACTGTTGGCAGGACTTGATAATGGTTCTGGTAAACAATGCAGTAGTTAAAGCATACTGAAAAACTACCTGTCCTGTGCAAACAGCTCAGCCAAATCATACATAAAGAGTTTCCTTCACCAAGCTTGGTTTTATTCAGTCCCATTCATATGGTTCTTTTGACCCAACACACAAAGCTGGCTAATTTAGTTGATTATGTACAATTTTTGTGGAATAGAAATAAATAGACAAATAATTATGTTTCTTCAGGTTTAGAAAGGTTATATTTACATCAGCTAATGCCACAGCCTCTTTATATGATCTCTCACAAAGCAAGCCACTGAATAGGAAGCTTTTTACCTTGTAATTGAGAGTGTTTTAATAATAGGGTTTGATAGAGATTTGTACCGTGGCTATGTAATATAATCACAATGCAGAAATGCAATCCTTTTTGTGAAAAACCTGTTTATAGAATGCCCATGGCTATAACACTCATACACCAGGAAGAAAAGCTCCACAAATAAGAAATGGTGCTTGGCCTTCCCCAACTGCTGATCGTTGATTGGACTAAAAATGATCATGTTATAGTGGGAGTGCACATAGAAACCAGTTCTGGATATACGCTCAGCTAATATGCATATTAGCCGCCTATTTATTCACTAAATATCAATCTGTTGTGTTTGGAAATCTGTAAGGCTATAAAATGTAAAGCTGTTGAAACATTTCTAAACCTAATGACAATTTTACAATATCTGTTGCTTTATCTGTTTATTTATAGGAGGTTGCTGCCGGACCACTCCATCAGAGATTGAAAGTCTACGAGAAACTTTACGGACCAGAGGTCCAAACAAGCAATAAATATATATTCAATGTGCACTGTGAAAACTTTGTAGTGCATTTAAGGATAGTAGAATGAGTTTTGGGTTCACTTTTTAGATGTCAACTTTTATATAGAGCAAAACTGACTATTTAACAAAGCTTATTGAATATAGCAAAAAGTCTCAGGTAAATATAACGTTGAAGAAGACAGTCATTAAGATACAAAAAATGTGAGTTAATTATTATAAACTGATTTAAATTACAAATTATCTAAGAAATGCACTTGACTTCCTGTTTAAGGTAGGTGATTGCTGAACATATCCTATTTTTTCCCTTTAAAGTATTTTTTATGCAAGTTTCACATATTTAAGTATAAAAAACCCCAGCAAAAGTTTTTTCTGCTAAAGAAGGCAGTATCAGCTTTTGAGGCCAAGGGTATACTTACTTGCTGTACCAATGTGTACACCATTTGTTCTGTCTATATTTTTGTTAAATGAAGTGACAAATACAGTATTTCTTGTTTTTATTCAAGTGACACCTTTTTATAGGCACTTTTGAAGGTCTAATGTTTGCCTGTTCAAACATGAAGAAGTAAATTTTCATGGAGTGTACGTTTTCATGTCACATGACTATATTTATAAATATTTAAAGTGGAACTAAACCCTCCTATCCTTTTTTAGTCAAGGAAGCTGCCTTCTTTACTTCTGTTTTATCTGCAAATGCTATGATGCTGTGCATGTGATCAGTTATGACACCAACCATTTGATGGTTTTAAAGTTTGGTTGAGAGCACAAGCAAATATGTCATTTGAAACTGTTAAATCAATGAGTTTAGTACCAATTTAAATATCAGGGCTCATTCTCACCAGGGTGCAGAGACGTTTGATCTTCTGCACGTGTTCTGCAAGGGCACAATTAAATTAGTTGTTCTCTATGTGCCTTGTTCACACCACAACACTACTATCACGTGCAGATTGTTTCTGCACAGGAATCTGTAATGTGTATAAAACTCGTTTAAGCGCATGAAAACTGATGTTTCTGCAAGTGAAATCTGCACGTCCGTTTTCATACACGTATGGTGTGAACGAGCCCTAACTGTCTGAAATCTGTTTGCATTCTCTTCCCGCATTGCCTTGACTAGTGGAAATCCAAATACAAGTAGGAAGCTCAGCACTGTGAGCCATGCGCAATGCTGGACTACAGCAGTGTAATCACGTGATTTAGGGCTTTGTGTCAATGGTGTCAGTTTGATAACTGTTTAAAGCAGAACTAAAGCCTCCTATCTTTTTTCAGCCAAGCAAACTGCTATTCTTATGCAGGCCATACATGGGTCAAATTCCGAATGAATTTTCTTAAGAAAACCAGAAATTTTGTGGTTTTGTAATCCGATGGTGCCACCATTGATTTTGAAATTCAACCAACCAAGTCTTCAATTTCTTCTCATGCTGCTACAGAAAAGAATTTTTGCGGCCACAAATTTTCTTTTCTTTCCAGGTAACAGCTTTATATTTCTTGTACGATTCTCCCATCATTGATTCGAATTTAGTTTGTTTTTAAAAAAATTTCCAACATGCCCGATCACTCAAATTTGATGGTCACATGAAAATCGACCGTTTCTGTGACCCACTAATGGTGCGAAATTCGAACGAAAATTATTTTGGAATTCGACCTATGTATGGCCGGCTTTAGCCTCTGTTCTATCTCCAATGGCCATGATTCTGACCATGTGATCAGTTCTGACACCAGTCTTTTGATGGTTTGACAGATTTGGTTGAAGGCACAAGCAAATGTGACAGTTAGGGCTTGTTCACACCATGGTGCAGAGACGTCCGTTTTTCTGCAGGCGTTCTGCAAGGTCATAACAAAATCAGTCGTTCTCTCTGTGCCCTGTTCACACCACAACACTAGTATCACATGCAGATTTTTTTTCTGAGCAGGAATCTGGAACATGGATAAAACTTATTGAAGCAAGCATGTAAACTGATGTCTCCGCAAGTGAAATCTGCGCATATGGTGTGAACGAGGCCCTGGCATTCCCAGCACACACATGGCTTCAATGGAACAAAAACCTGTCAACACAGAGTCTTTACAGTCCAATGAACAGGTAGACAAAATAAACAGGAAATTGTGGTGTCAGCTATGGCTATGCTTAGTGGCAGAGGGATATGTGAATCACAACAGAGGTTGGAAAGCACTGTAAAACATTTTGGAAGGTGAAGATATTTACAACTCTGTTTTTAGGTCTATGGAGTTCTGCTTTAAAGTTTGCCAGTTGTCTTTTCCTAAACTACTGAATCCCTCTCCACAACAAAGGGAGTAATTGTTCTGTATTCCAAGATAAAAAGTGGGAGGGCTAAGTAGACTCCTTAAGATCTATACAGGAAGTGTGCAGAGGGCACAGGATAGCTGTGAATTTTTCTTTTTGTAATTCTTTAAGTTTTTCAGAGTATACAATAGGGAATAAAAGGCAGTATAAGAGATATCTATACAATATGCTCAAGGTCCGGTGTGAGTCCCATATGTAAACAAGGGCAAATAATAAAAAAAACAAACATAAACGCCTGGTCAACTCTCTAACTGCTCAACTAAACTAATGCTCCTGACCTGTAAAGCAGAACACAGCTCGATCAACTATTCAGATTTACAGTTTTATGCGGACTTGTCATGATACACCTTACAACAAAAATCTGCATAACAATACCAAAGCTTTACATAACCACAGCATCGGCTATAAATGGGGATATCCTACCGAGTTACTTGTCACTAAAGGTCATACCACGCATGTAATTAAATCCCCCAGCAAAGGGTACCACCTTCTTAAGGCCTGGAACATTCTACCTGATGATCCATGATCCTCCACACTGACAAACAGCCCGAGCAAGATAGCTCCCAAATGGCAGAAGGTGTCAAGGAAATGATTGCATTCAATATTTATTACCTTTATACAGAAAACCTGAAGCCTGGGCACACAACCCATTCCCCTGCCTTAGGAGTGTAAGCCTCATTACCGCTCCACTTACACCTGAGCAGAAATGATCTGTGTAGCAAACTAGCTCATCAGAGTTGGAGCTCCCCTTTTCCTTTTCTTTGGTGGAAGTATACCTCAGCCCTCATTCCCTACCCCCCTCCAGTCCTGAGAGTCAAACGTTATCTCCTGACAGATGGTGTGGGTCAGCCCAAGTTAAGCATTCCTAGTTTGGTATCAGCCGTTTGTGTACGTGTAACCTTTTTCACCCATCATAAAACAAATAGCTTCTCTCCCGGACTTAAAAGAGAATTGAACATTCCTCGGGTCAACTGTATGTTTCATATCATGGATTATGAAGCTGTTAGTTTTAACTGAGAGTCCACTGACATCCTGGCCAACATATTGTATTGGGCAGACGCAGAGCCACCCCCCCTTGCCGGGGGGATTTTAAACGGAGACAGGATAGCAAGTCTGAGAGTTAGAGTTGTAACAGATCTCCTCAGCTTAACACCGGAACGAGAAGAGCAAGAATCATCCTGCTCTGCAACTTGGATCTGCAAACCAAGGCATATGGGCAAGTAACTTAACCCTGTAATTTCCTTCCTAATTATCTCTTTGCTGTGTCTTACATATACATACATATATATATATATTGTTGTCATACATAAGAAACACAAGATCACAGGTCCAGCCGGTGAGAAGTTCAGATACGTTTTTTTTTTTGCCCATTGGAGGAGTCGGGTTTCTTCTAGAGGATCAACGTTTGTTCTGTTCCCGGTTATCAAGAGGTTTTCTTCCTGCCCAGCTCTGCACCACCCGGGGATCTTCTCTGACCAAGGGAACACCAATTCTACTCTGATTACCCCATGAGCCTTATGATCTCTACATTGCACTTTTAATGTGCACATCTGGTTAGTGTGCACTTTTACTCCAAGTCACCTTTGCTGGGACTATTTTTATTCACATTTAATTATTGTGTTTCTTATGTATGACAACTTTATATATTTTTAGCGCTGCACTTTTATATATAACTTCTTGTGAGGATTTTTGTTGGTTATCCTG